GAGGGAGGGGATGGTTTTGTACTGAGCTGAATATAACACACCACAGGCAATGGCCAAGGACCTTCTCAATGTCTAAATTTCAATTTTAAGTTGTTTCATCACCAGCCATCGGCCTAGTCACGGGCAGACCTTCCCACAGGCTTCCACCCTGGTCCTCGGATGAAGGCCTTGGACCCCCCACCGGCCCCCGCTGCGGCCTCCCTGCGCTCTCCCCGCACCACCTGCGTCCCCAGGTCATTTGTCTTTTTCCTACAGGGAACTGACACATGGAGGGAGCACAGGGGACAGGTCCCTCTACCTCCCTACTGTGCAAACGCCTGCCGACCAGGTCAGAGTGAGACGGCCCCTGGCTGTCGCCGAGCCCAGCGCCGGACCCGCCTCCTGTCTCGGGAGAGAACCTCAGGCCTGGTCACTAAGGATGACTGACAAGGGCAAAAGCCTCACGGACAAAGAACTCAGCCGAGACATGTTTGCGATGCTGAGCAAGGCAGGTTTATTGAAAGACACAGAGCGAGACACGCTCCTTTCCCAGANCGAGACGGCCCCTGGCTGTCGCCGGGCCCAGGGCCGCCGGACCCGCCTCCCGTCTCAGGAGAGAACCTCAGGCCTGGTCACCAAGGACGACTGACAGGGGCAAAAGCCTCACGGACAAAGAACTCAGCCGAGACATGTTTGCGATGCTGAGCAAGGCAGGTTTATTGAAAGACACAGAGCGAGACACGCTCCTTTCCCAGAAGCAAAGGTCAGAAGCCGGGAGACACAGCAGCGAGTGGAACCTGTCGGGACCCCCAGGCACCGGGCGTGGCCGGGGAGGCTCTGGAAGCACCCAGAGGGGTGGACGCCGCCGGGATCCACACTTAAAGGAAGCTTGGTGCTGGCCGGGAAAATCAGGTCGCCAAGGGCCGCTTAGCAGCCAGCACAGGGAGTGGGCGAGGGGCAGCGATGAAGGGTTTCCATGGCGGGCAGTGTGCTAGGAGGTCCTGGGGGCAGCTGGCAGGTCGCGGGGTCTCATCTGCTCACGGTTCCCACAGCTCAGCAAGTTCTTCGGCAGCTGGACACGCAGGGCCGCTTGTACGTCCTGGGGGCACCACCACCCGGCTGGCACGCAGCGGGGGTGCCGCCCTGGGGCTTGCAGCTACTGGACACGAAGGTGAGCGGCCGGCTGCAGGCCGCCGAGCAGGGGCTGGAGACACAGGCGGTCTGTCGAGAACAGGCCACCCGTCCCGGGCTGGGGATGCGAGACATCGGCTGGCAGGCGGGGGGCTCGCAGCTGGGCTCCTGCCCGCAGTGGTCCAGCAGCCAGGAGCCGGTCTGGAAGGAGCTGGGCAGGCAGATGCCGCTCAGGCAGTCGGCATCGTGCGTGGTGCCCGCGGTCACCGGGACCACAGGGACCCCCGGGACGGGGCAGGCTCCGGCCGCCGGCCTGGCCGAGCGGTTCCTGGGAGAGCAGTGGTGGGACATGGTGCGGACGGAGGATGGAGAGCGGGCGCGGCCTGCTGAGCTGGCTCGGGGGTGAGTGGCCCTCCCGGCTCCCCAGCCCGTCTTATAGGCCTCGCTGGCGGGCGGGGCTCCCGCCGGCTCCTCCGGGCCTCTCTGGCTCAGACCAGCTTCCCTCAGAACATCTGTGAATCTCCCGGTTAATTGGCTCCAAGAAGCCTCCGTGCTCGTAAAGCAGGTTTAGTGGTTTGGTAACTAGGTTATAAGGCTTCTGTGCTGACCTTGGGCCTGAGACTGAGGAGGCGGGTCGGCAGCTTCAAAGTCACCGGTCACCCGGCCCACACGTCACCCTGGTGCGTCTCGCTGGGCTGCAGGGAGCGTCCATCCGACCGTGACACCGAAAACACCCCCCTCGTCCGGTCACACTCTCCTCTCCGACCAGCGCTGATTACAGACCCCACAGTGTGGCTGGTTGATGCCTGTATTATGTCTTAAGCATGACTCGGTCAGTCTGTCGTAGCTAACGGGCATCTAAGGGACAAACAGCCTCCCTAAATGTGCTTCGAGACGACCATGACATCACCTGTCCGGAAAAAAGACACGAGCTGCTCGGGAAACTAACCCGGGGGCAGAGCACGGAGCCCACGGGGAGGCCCGAGGGCCGGGGCCCAGGCACCAGAGCCGAGCAGGAGCGACGGGGGACGGCTGGGTCGGTGGCCACGTCCCTTCCTAAGCAAGGCCGACCGGCTTTATTCCTGAAAGTCGTAATCGAATGGGGTAGAGTGACTCATCAAACCCATTCATGTGCCGGCGGAACAGCCTCAGTCAGTATCTTTGTTGTTGTTAATCTTCCCCAGGGATGTTTTTTCCACTGATTTTTTTTAGAGACAGTGGAAAGGAGGGAGGGAAGGAGAAGCCTCTACGTGAGGGGGACACATCAGTCGGCTGCCACCTCCTGCACGCACCCCGGCCGGGGCCAGGGATCAGATAGTATTTTAATAATTATTATGTTAATTTAAAAGGTTACAGTCTCTTCCTCCATAGGTGCCACATATATTCAAAAGATGTTTTCACGCAGATACTTACGGAGAGGATGTGCTTCTGTCATGGACAAATCCAAGACTCCTGAAGGTTGTGTCTCCCGCAGGGAGGGGGGAGGGGAGGGAGGCAGGTGAACGGCGGGTGGGGTAACATTTAATTACTGTTTCGTTCTTGGGGACACAGACAAAGATGTCATTCTCCTGGATTTTCATCTCACTACAATCTAGTCAGTTTCGACTGATGCCTTTTGGCCACCTGCACACAAGCATCTCAACTCCGGAAAATAAGTCACGTCGCCACGATTGCTACGTGGCCGGTGATATTTTCACATCAAAACCACTCCGAGGTCTGACTCATTCCGTCAGCTGGCTTTCGTGGGCGTGGGAGGGGGCAGGAGTGGATTTCCATACATTTGAGGGTTCCAGGTGACCCCATTTCAAACAGAACTCGTCAGAAGTCCCTGTGCAAAGGCCCCACTCACCCCACTCATCTCCCTTCATTCCACGGAAGCCACTTAGAGCTCCCGAGTCTCTAATCGGAGGCTAATAGCACCCGGACTGGGGCGACGCTGTCCCCTGAGCTGTGTCATAATTCCCAGGCTCTCCCTCGGGACCTGTGGTGCTCTCGGGTGCAGGGCAGATTCACGAGATGACCACTTTCCTCGATGTTGCAACATGCTCTCCCCACCGTGGGGAGGGCCCCGGGGTGTCTGAAGGGCGGGGTTCCTGGCCACGGGGGCTGGATGAGTCGTTCTCAGGCTTCTACCGGCCATGGATTCGTGGGCTGCTGTGGAAAACGACTATAACCTCGTAAATTAATCAGGGGCCCAGGAGAAGCGAAGTCAGCAGTCAAGTGACACAGAAGTTTTCATTTGCGATGTCCACGTTCCCGGGATCACAGGGTCTCGTAGATCATTGCTCGGCCATCATCCGTCTTTTCCACTGAGTGTTAAAAATTACAAATAAGCCCCGGCTGGTGTGGCCCAGAGGACCGAGCACCAGGAGATCCCGGTGCGGTTCCAGGTCGGGGCACGTGCCCGGGTCGCCGGCTCGACCCCCAGCAGGGGCCGCGCAGGAGGGAGCCCATCGATGTCCCTCTCTCATCAGTGTCTCTCCCTCCCTCCCTCTCCCTCTCTTTCTAAAATCAACGAAAACATATAAAAAAATTACAAAAAACAAGGGTCCTAGAAAAATCTTCCATCAACTTCAGGAAAAAAGGACGAGAGTGTTTTCTGAGCACGGACTGTCTTCGGGACCTGGAGCTGGCGGCCTCGCACTCAGCGCCGCGCCCCAGAGCTTCCCGTCAGCGGAGCAGGTTCCGCGTCCCGTGAAGCAGCTGAGGTTCACGGAGGTCAAGGGGCTCCCCAAGGTCACAGTTTTTATTTGGCCAAGTTGAGAGTCAAATAAAACAGAGCCTGAGCTTCAAGCAGCAGTTCGGGAGATTTAAACATGATGAGAGGCCTTTGTTAAAGTTAGAGCAAAGGTTTATTTTTTAAAATCAATCGGTGTTTCATCAATAACAGAATATGGTCCATATTTCTCTTCACTTCCATCAACCGATTAGCAACAACAGAAATAAATAAAACTTTAAAGTAGTAAGTTCCAAGCGTGGCCGTCCTTACACTTCATGACTTTTCATTCTCTATACCTTCGGAAAGTGTTATTTCACTAGAATACAATGTACGGTCACTCAGTACAAAGCGGGAGCCACCGCTTGAAATTACAATTATTTATAATGGTGACGCATGCAACTAATTGTTGGAGAACAGCAGAGATGTGAATTCGTTTTTCGGGTCTGGGGGGCAAGAGCTTTCTGAAGAAGCAGGATTCGCAACCTCTGGGCTCCCTCGGAGATGAGCTTTCAGCCTGTTCTGGTCGCAGAGGAAGCCGAGCCCACGGTTCTCGAAGGAATTGGACCCGCAGACGGCCTTCCGGGCGCCGCAGAGCGCAGGCTCCTGGGGAACGGCTGGCTGGGTCTCCCTCCATCCCACGCGGGGTTAGGACGCCCCTCGGCGTTCCTGTGCATTCGATTTTCAGAGGCATCGTGTAGACCCAGCGTGTGGATCCCCGGCCGGCCCCGGAGGCTGAAGAATCTCGCCACCACTCTCACCCCACGGCGCTGTTCAGTGAAACCGATAACTCAGCCCTTTGTTGGAACGTCACGGAGCCACCGACGGCCAGCAGCTGGGCCTGCGCCGCCGCGTGGGACGCGGGCTCAGTGACGGCTCTCGAGGACCGTTCTCGCGTCCACCGAGCACGAAGCCAGGGCGGGGGAGTGAGGAGAGCGGACTGGGGGGGATTCAGGAACGGCTCCCATGATCGTCACCCTGGACGGGCGATGTGCTCTCGCCTGCACAGAGCCATGGACGCCTCGCACGGCAATTATCGTGGCCTGGAAATGGGCGATTCTCTCGCTCGGCTGGGAGTCACAGACACCACACAAGCCAAGTGTCTGAGAAAAAAATGAATCAAGCGTGTGTGGGAGGCAGGACGTGTGACGCGCAGGTGGGATACTCTTCATCACCGCACTGGGGATAAGGCTGACCGACGCTAGTTAAAATTTAAAAATGTAAAACAAGCCCTGGCCAGTTGTGCTCAGTGGTTAAAGCATCGACCGGTGGACGGAAGGGTCACGGGTTCGATTCCTGGTCAAGGGCACACACATCAGTCACAGGCTCGGTGCCCGGCCCCAGGCGGGTGCATGGGGGAGGCAACCAATCGATGTCTCTCTCACAGCAACATTTCCCTCTCGCTCTCCCCCTCTTCCACTCTCTCTGAAAAATCAACAGAAAAAGCATCCTTGGGTGAGGATCACGGGGTTTTCTCAGCCTGCACTTCCTCCGATCCTTCCACTCTCAAAGCGAAGCTACTTCTTATCTCTTAAGAAATATAAAAAGGGAGCCAAAAAAATTTTTTTTACAAGAGAGCACTTATTTGGTAAAATTACAGAGGTGGAAGAAGCAATTTCTAGAAGAAATGGGCTTAGGAAGCACGTTATAGAGGCAAAGGAGGGGCCCTAGGCGCTTGGGAGCGAGGGTGCTAATGATAAGGCACCCGGGGGAGCGGAGGGGAGGGGAAAGGCAGGGGCATGGAGCCAAGATTTTAAGGACATTATAAAGCCCCCGAGGCTGAGGGACTTGCGCCACAAAACTGCACTGAAACTCATTTTCCAGACTCTTTTCAAAAACCATCGGTCCTGGGAAGGTTTGCGTCTTTGGGGCTGGAGGGAACCGTGGGGCAGAGAGCGGAGACGGGGGAAGCGAGTGGAGACCGCAACACAGCTGCTGCTCTGCGGACTCAGAAAGTAGCCACAGGACTCGTATAGAAACGGACCTGAGGAGAGGGTCCAGGCTAGGAAACCCCAAACTGAACCACCATTCCTTTCTCTCAATGCCCGTTTTCAAATTCATGTGGTTTTTCCTGTCCC